GGGGGTGTTGTGTTTGTATATGATACAGACATTTTTCAGTATAAGCAAAACTTTAATCGTTTTCTCACTCTCACTCTAAAATAATTTATATATGTTTGAGTATATTTTTGTATGAAACAAACATTCTTAGGTTCTCAAAAGAAATATTAGGTGCTTGTGTTACTCATTTTCTCACTCTAACGAAAATTTTGAGTTTAAATTTTCGTAAATGTGAGTTCTTATGAGCGGTGATTCTGTGGCAGTTTATTGAATTTGGAACCGAGGGAAGCATTTTTGTGCTCAAAGCGTGCTTGGATCATCTGAATCGGCACGAGACGGAGTCGAAGAATGCGCCGTTGGAGAAGGTGGTCGCGTCGATTTTCAGATATCTCCTGGAAAGACCGAATTTCAGTACTGTGTTTTGCGAGTCTCTGAGGAATTCAGAGATCAGTGAAGGAATCCTAGATAATTTCTCTAATGTATTGCATCTGTCGGTGCCTGAGAAAATTTGTATTGGTCTCGCATTGTCTGATTCTGAAAACTCTGATATCAGGATATGTGGTAAGCTTCAATTGTTAAGTTCAGGTCTTTTGTTGAATCGAGTTGTTTCTTTAATTTTTTTTTAGATTGTTTCCGTTTTGTTTCAAGTATCTTCTAAGGTTTCCGCTTGCTTAAGTATTGAATTCAGCTATTTTTTAATTTGTAGGCAAGAACTTTTGCGTTGCTCAGATTGAGGAATTGTGTGCCAATCCCGTTAATCTGAATTCTGAGCAAATTTTAAGTATCGTCATGTTCCTCCAGCAATCCGAGGGCCTTGCAAAGCTTGTAGATGCATTTATGCAGATGTTATCTTTGGTGCAGCTGAAAGATGTATCGACGTTTGTTTTAACTCCTTTGCTTTCAGATGAACAACGTGATGCCCAATTTTTGAGGTATTGCTTCTGCTATTATCTTGGTTGTCATTCTACTCGAGTTTATTGCCTGTTGGGTATAAGAGTATTTTTCATTTGTCTTTATTTGTTTATCATCCTAAAATATATGATATACTGTCTGTTAAGACTTTCTTATTTTTTGCTACAGGAACATGGATTTGTTACATGGAAGCGAAGAAAATGATTTTGATGCTATTTTGGCTGAAATGGAGAAGGAAATGAGCATGGGAGATATTATGAAGGAACTAGGTTATGGTTGTACGGTTGATGCATCCCAGTGCAAGGAGATTTTGTCCCTCTTTTTACCACTCACTGAGGTTACTATTTCTAAGATATTGGGCACAATTGCCTGCACTCATGCTGACCTTGAGGACAACCAGAATACATTATCAACATTCAGCATGGCGCTTGGTTGCAACACTTCGTCTGATCTGCCTTTGTTGAATAGTTGGAATATTGATGTCCTTATAGATACAATCCAGCAACTCGTAAGTATTATTCTTCTTATAGTGGTTTACTTCTTAAACTGGGAACTGGGAAGCTTTGACTTTGTGAAGTGAATCACATGCTTATTTCCTAAGTTTGCTGCTGACTGCAGGCGCCAAATACTAACTGGGTAAAGGTTATTGAAAATTTGGATCACGAGGGATTCTACATTCCTAATCAGGAGGCATTCTCGTTCTTCATGTCTGTATATAAGCGTGTGTGCCAGGTATGTCTCATAATAGTAAATAGTTTCATTTATGTACATTGTCAATCAATACAAGAATTTAAAACTTTGATCCATGGTGGTTATGAGTCCATTGGTTTGAGTTGTGCAGGAGCCATTCCCGCTCCATGCTATTTGTGGGTCTGTTTGGAAAAATACTGAGGGTCAACTGTCATTTCTTAAATATGCTGTAACATCACCACCTGAAGTATTTAGCTTCACCCACTCCGTTAGACAGCTGGTACGATTCTACATTTATGCCATTTTTCTCATTTAATCTTTGTTAGAGAAGTATATAGTTACGAACAACCGTTACACTTTCAGGCATATATTGATTCGCTGCATGGGCATAAGCTTCAAGTTGGACCTGCAAATCATGCATGGTTATGCCTTGACCTCTTGGATGTATTGTGTCAACTAGCGGAGAGGGGTCATGCTTCTACTGTTCGATCAATGGTCCAATATCCCCTTCAACACTGTCCTGAAGTGCTGCTCCTTGGGATGGCGCATATAAATGTACTTTTACCTTTATTTCTCTACCACGCTTTGGAAGCTTCATCTTTTAATCTTTCGCCAGTCAAGTACTTTGTTTTTTATTGTTAATTTGGATTGTCCATTGCAGACTGCATATAACCTGCTGCAACACGAAGTGTCTGTTACTGTTTTCCCTATGATACTAAAGAATGGCCTGGATAGTGATATGACTCTTCATCTCTGGCATGTAAATACCTATTTGGTATTGCGGGGATTTGTCGAGGCTCACAAGAGTGATTTAGATGTCATTACAAAAATACTGGATATCTGCCAAGAGAAAAAGGTAGCTGTAGTTCAGAATAATCTAGTCATTCATATCCATTTCTGCGTGCTAATTGCAGTTCATTTCCTTTATGGTCCTGCAAACCATGGACTATGGCAGTTATAAGATCCTGATTCTTCTTATTTTGGCTTTCGTGTTCTATTTCTCCCTTTTTGCTGATACCCATTGTCGTACTTCTTGCAGATTCTGTCATCTATCCTGTTCTTATTTTGGCTTTAGTATTTTATTTCTCCCTTTTTGCTGATACCCATTGTCGTACTTCTTCTTGCAGATTCTGTCATCTGTGCTAGATCTGGCTCCATCTTCCTTTAGTATCAAGTTGGCAGCCCTTGCTTCGAGAAAGGAGCTTGTTGACCTTGAGAAATGGTTGGTCAGTAATTTGAGTACTTATAAAGATGTTTTCTTTGAGGTAATTTTGAACTGGCCCTTGCCCAACTGTAGTATTTACATCGCAAACATTGCATATTGGTTTTTTACATAAAAGTCGTAAATAATGGACACCATGAGTTTACAAGCTACTGCAACTTCTCAGGAGTGCCTCAAGTTCTTAAAGGAGATTCAGTTTGGTGGATCACATGATTTTTCTGCCAGGCCTTTCCAACATTCTGGTGCCATCTCTAACCTTTATGCAGATGCTACTACTACCTTCTTGAAGGTTATTTTTCTGAAACTTGTTCGTTTTCTGTTCCCCCTCTTCAAGTGTGTGGGCAGTAGATTCATCTTCTGCATTTTGACTATAGGTCCTTAAAGCTCATGTCGGATTGATTACTTCTAGCCAACTTTCTGAAGAACTAGAAAGGTTGCGTGTAACAATAGTGGACTCTAATCCAAGGCTACAGAATGGTGGAACCACAGAGTCATCAACTGATGGATATGCAGAGGATATCGAAGCTGAAGCCAATTCTTATTTCCACCAAATGTTTTCTGCACAGTTGACTATTGATGCGATGGTACAAATGCTAGCCCGATTTAAGGAATCTTCTGTAAAGAGGTATGACATTTGTTATGTTTTACCAAGTTGTTCCGATTTTTTACCTGATTTTCTTGATGTCACCTAACAGTGTCATAATAATCTTCTCAATAATTAACAGACGTATTATTTCACAAACTTACAGGGAGAATTTAATTTTTGAGTGCATGATTGCTAATCTGTTTGAGGAGTACAGATTCTTCCCCAAGTATCCTGAAAGGCAATTGAAAATTGCTGCGATTCTTTTTGGTAGGTCTTGGAATTGCTGCGATTCTTTTTGGTAGGTCTTGGAATTGCTGCTTGGATGGTTAAATGTTTCAAGAATTAATTTTATGGTTAAATTGATCCTGTGGTTTGGTTTATAGTTTTGTTTAACTTAAAAATCAATGAAGTAGAAAGTTATTTTTGTCCAAAACAAAAGAAATCATTTTTATTTAGCAGCTGTGGCAATAAATGAGGAGTGGTTTGACATTTAACTTTTTAAGGTATCTGAAATGCGTATCTTCCGTGTATAGTATGTGAAGATGAAACTATGGTCATCTGATAGTTTTTTATTTAAAGAGATCAACAATTTTTGAGTTGTACGTGCCATGAAAAACTATTTGACACCTTGCCTTTCGCTTGATCATCGAATTGGCTGTGAAAGTTTGAACTTCTCTTAGCTTTATGTATGCATAAAAGTTGACATTTGTGCTTTTGTTTCCTGTTATAGTTTTCGCCATCAGATTTATGTTCCAGTAGATTGTTCTTTCAAACAAATTCCATTTCTATATGTTAAGTGTCATTGTATCTTTTGTGTTATTGTATAATTTTGTTGTCTTATCCTGGTGTTTTTAATTTTTTAGGCTCTGTTATCAAGAACCAGCTTGTAACTCATCTTACACTTGGGATCGCTCTTCGTGCTGTTCTGGATGCATTGCGCAAACCTGCAGATTCAAAAGTTTGTACCATCTCTTATCAACTTTCATTTATTCAATTTTTGTTGGTATAGTATTGCTTATGTTCTCGCTTACTTTCTACATGCAGATGTTTGTGTTTGGGACTAAAGCCTTGGAGCAGTTTGTGGATCGTATGATCGAGTGGCCACAGTACTGCAATCATATCTTACAGATTTCCCATCTGCGCAATACCCATTCGGAGCTAGTCGCTTTCATTGAACAGGCTCTTGCTAGGATTTCATCGACCCATTCAGAATCTGAAGGGGGCAACCAGGCTTCTGCCGCTTATCACCATGGCCCCACTCAAGTTACCTCTGGGAATGTGGATGTAAGTTGTGAAGCATGTTCTTTTCCTTGTGGCATGCATGTAAATTTATTGCTAAGTAGGCACAAGTGGGGTTATTACATTGAATTTTATTAGTTTTTCACACTTGCATTTTGTTTCTGCTTTGAAGTTTTATATATTCGGTGAGACACACGTCTTTGAGGCACGGGTGCCGTTATGTTTGAGACTTGAGCCTTTTTTCTTTTTTCATTCAAATCTATAGATTCACTTGTGCCTATATCTCCTGTTTTACATAATTTTTTAATCTTTTACACACCTGGCCTCACTGGTGTTAAAAGACTTAATATGCGATTTAGCTTCTCAAAACACATGAATAGTATCTTTCATGCAGGTATTTCTTTTGGGAATACATAGAAATTTTATTAGTCAAATATTTTTTTTGTATATTATTTACATATCATTCAAATGATGCCATTGCATGCGCTACCATAACCAAATTCAATTTTGCCAAATCTCTTTTATTAGTCATCCTGCCAGCCAATGCATCCTTTTTTTCCTCTTTGTAGAGCCATAGAACAATTTTTCTGCTCAAGGATCTTTTGTTTTCATCCTAGGATAGCTTTACATCTTATGATTTGGAGCTTAGGTTCAACGATGGTGTTTAAGCTTCTTTAAATGTAAAATAGCTCGTTAAATATAAGTGGATTTGAATAGGAAAAAAAAATTCACGTTTAGCAAAACACGAGATATCAATGAAATGCACCGCTTTATGCTTGGTATTTTTGCAGTTGAATGGTCCTGGTGCTATACATTCGGGGCAGCAACTCTCTTCTCCTGTGCAACTTCAAGAGAGACATGAAAGCTCTTATGATGACCGTCATAGAGCCTCTGTGACTTCATCGAATGATATCAAACCACTTTTATCTTCTGTTGGGCAAGCTTCAGGTGTTTCTGTTGGTGAAGCCTCTGGCACCCAGAAAGTAAGCCCCTTTATTATTATTTTTATTATTTTTTTGCGATAAACTAGGTGCTCTCATATCCAATTATAGCCCTTAAGTGACCTAGCCTTCATTTCATTGTAAAATTACAGTTGCAAAGTGCAGTCACTGCTCCACCAATGCTTTCTTCTTCTCCTGGTTTTGTTCGTCCTTCGCGAGGAGTTACTTCCACAAGTAATTTTCTTTCTTTCTTTGGTTTTTTTTTTTTTTTTTTTTTTCATCGTGCCTGCAACAACTTGTCAATTTGTGCCTGGGTACATTGCTTACAATCCATCTTTTACAGGGTTTGGGTCTGCTCTGAATATTGAAACATTAGTTGCTGCTGCTGAAAAGAGAGAGACTCCTATTGAGGTACTTTGGTACATGAGTTTTATAGGTCCTTCGAAATTGGTATTAGTGGTTTTTTGTTTTTTTGTTTTTCAGTAGACGGTTTTTCTAGCAGCCTAATATTTTAATTGCTTCTCAAAGATTGTGTGATTTGTTAATGCATAGTCCCCCCACCCTCATCCCTACCCCCTTAATATTTTATTTGTGATGCTAGACTTATGCATAAAAGATCACACTTACATGTGAAAAATGATATAATGGCATTTATTTGAGACTTGACATTATAATTTATTTGGACAACTCTTTGAAGATATTGAAGGTTCCTAGTGAAACAATTGACCAGTCTGCATATGATCACATACTTTGGGAGCCCACTTGGTGCTCACCCATTGACAATCGTTGGGACACTGTACATGGCTGTAAAAATGTCCGTTTAATATTTGATATTGGTTGCTTTCTCAATGTAGGATTAATCCCTAGTACTTCTGTTTTCAGGCTCCGGCATCCGAGGCGCAGGACAAGATATCATTCATAATCAACAACATTTCGGTTGCTAATATTGAAGCTAAAGCTAAGGAATTTACTGAAATACTGAAGGAACAATACTATCCATGGTTTGCACAATATATGGTTATGAAAAGGTCAGACTCTCTTTAAAAATAAGTTACTCTTTCTATTAAATTTTTATAAAGAAATCTATGGGTGCGTTTGGAATTGTTTTTTAGTTGTTTTCAAAAATGTTTCTGCACGTCTTTTGAGGCACAAAAACGAAAACGGTCTATAAATTGCGTTTGTTTAATAAAAGTTTTGAAAACGGAAACGAAAATAAAAAATAATGAGAATGATTTTTGTGAAGAAGGTAGAAAACGATTGAAAGTTGTTTTTCCTTTTCCGTTTTCATTTTCTAGTACTTATCAACAATGTTATATTAAATAATTAATTATTAATTACTAATTATATTATATATTAATTAATAATTAATAAATAGATACTTAATAACTAATAAATAGATAGTAATTACTTAATTATTAATTAAATATTAATTTATTACTACTAAGTTTTTAATTTTATTAATAAAATAATAAATAATATAGCTATTAATTATTTAGTTTAAGATTAATTGTCAAAAATTAATTATATAACATATTAACAATAAAACAAGTAATAATAGGTTATTAAATAAATAATAAATAATTAATATATCAATCATATATCATGTTAATTATAATCTATTAATTAGTAAATAGTTGGTAAATAAAAAATAAATAGTAATTACTCAATTAATAATTAATATTAAATTATAATTATCAATATGTAATATATTAATCAATAATAATAATTGATAATTAGTAAATAATCATTATAAAAAGAATAATTTCCAAAAATTGATCATGTGATATATCAAATAATAGATTATTAAATAAACATTAGTAATTAATTAACTAATTATTTAATTACGTAACTAAAAGTTAATAATTTAAGTAGTAAAAGAAATATTAATAAATTATGTATATACTAATTATGTTTCTTAATACACTAATTAATTACTTATAATCTAATAAATATGAGTACATTACTAACATAGTAATTACTATTTTTTAATTATTTCGCATATTTATTTATTATATATATAGTTTAATTACTAATGTACTCATTAATGATAATTTAGCTATTATTATTATATTATTAATGTATTAATTTTTATTTGCTAAATAATTATCAATTATTAATTACTTAATATATTAATTTAAGATTATTAATTACATGTACTCAAAATAAACATAAATGTAACCAAACACAATTTCACTTTTTTATCATACTCAAACCAATCTCTTGAAAGACCACCCAACGTAATTTCAGAATCGGTTCCAGAATGATTTTCAAAACAATCTCATTTTCATTTTTGTATAAAAAACAAAACCATTTTGAAAGCATTACCAAACGGCCCTTTGTTTCTTATATCTATAAACAAAACAAAGGTGTTGCTTTCTGAAAATCAATGTCTGTGTTGAAGATACGTCTCTTTAGAGTTAAGGCATGCCTAAACTCTAGTAGTCATTATATATGCAATATGTAGCTTAATTTGGGCTTGGTTTAGCTGGTCATAGACATAATAAATTGTTTGAAAATTCCAAAATTCTTGGTTTGTTATGCTAGGAAGAATTTTCAATTAGACGATTACGACAATAGAACAAAGAACCTCTCTTTTCAAGTAGAGACAGAGTACTATTATATTGTGACTTGCCTAATAGAGCTGTAGTATTTCAATATCTGTATCGATTCTAGCAATTACCCTTGAATACTGCATCCCAAGACATAATCCTTCAATACCATATGACAGAGCAAGTATCGAGCCGAATTTTCATGATTTGTACTTGAAGTTCCTGGACAAAGTTAATTCAAGGGCTTTGAATAAGGAGATTGTCCAAGCCACCTACGAGAACTGCAAGGTTATGTTTTAGAACCATGTTATTTTTGCATTTTGGATATAATATTAATACCCTAATTGATGAATCTAACATCTCTGCATTCTTTCAGGTTCTCTTGGGATCAGAGCTTATAAAATCAAGTTCTGAAGAACGTTCATTATTGAAGAATTTGGGTAGCTGGCTAGGGAAGTTAACAATTGGAAGGAATCAAGTCTTACGGGCTCGTGAAATAGATCCCAAATCTTTGATTGTAGAGGTATTTGTTTTCCCAGTTTTAAAATCAATCCTTAGTTTGTCTTCTTGTATCTGGTCTGGCCGTGTTTTGTTCATGTGGATTAAACCAGTACGCCATGTTTTCTCTCTTCACAGGCATATGAGAAGGGGCTGATGATTGCTGTAATACCATTTACGTCAAAGGTATTTGTTGTTTTGGTGTTGCTTTTGCTTATACAGATTTTGAGTCTGAATTTGGTTGCTGAAGGATTTATGCTTAATTTACTTGCAGGTCTTAGAGCCATGCCAAAGCAGTTTAGCATATCAACCACCCAATCCCTGGACAATGGGCATTCTTGGATTACTTGCTGAGATTTATTCAATGCCAAACTTGAAAATGAACCTGAAATTTGACATTGAGGTGCATTTCTCTTTTTCAATGTCTGATCTATCATTTATTTTCATCTGTATGTTTTTGTTTTTGTGTGAGTGTTAGATGTGTAAATGCCAGTGCGCGTGTCTATTTTCTCAAGTTGGTCGGTACGATTTTACTCTATTGTTTTACCCTTTCAGGTTCTATTCAAGAACCTTGGTGTCGATCTGAAGGAGATAACGCCGACTTCTCTTCTTAAGGATCGCAAGAGAGAAATAGAAGGCAACCCTGATTTTTCGAATAAAGATGTTGGAGCATCCCAATCCCAGATGGTTGCTGAAGTCAAATCAGGGATAATGTCTCCACTAAATCAAGTTGAGCTACCACTTGAGGTCGCTCCATCATCTAACTCTGGAGGGCATACGCATATATTATCACAGGTTGGTTTTGCTTGGTAGTTCTTTTGCCAATTACTTCTTTTCCCACCCCATCCTCTTCCGTCATTTTTTTTTCTTCACCACTGGGCTAATATCTTTTTAAAAAAAAAAAAAATTCCTGGACTAGTATGCTGCACCTCTTCATCTGTCATCTGCTACATTGATGGAGGATGAGAAGCTGGCAGCTTTAGGCTTAACTGATCAGCTACCTTCTGCGCAAGGATTGCTACAAGCTACTCCATCCCAGTCACCATTTTCTGTTAATCAAGTGCGATTTTGAACCCTGCTCCTTTCGCTCCTCTTTGTTGTTGGATGGATTGATTAGCTTAATAATTAAAACTTAATCATGTCCATCCTTTTGCTTTTTCTCTTCTGTTTGCAGCTTCCTGCAGCAATACCTAACATTGGAACTCACGTAATTATCAACCAGAAGCTTAATGGACTTGGCTTACACTTGCATTTTCAGAGGTGCCGTGATGATCCTTTTCTCAAGTTCTTTAGGATATTGGTTAATTACTTTGTTGTTAACACTTAGGTTGGGTGTACTTTATAGAATCGTTCCAATGGCAATGGATAGAGCTATCAAAGAAATAGTGTCAGGAATTGTTCAGCGCAGTGTTTCTATAGCCACTCAAACGACTAAGGAGCTTGTTTTGAAGGTTCGTGTTTCATCTTTGTTTACCGAATTCACTCCTTGTTTTGTGTTGGTTCCCTATTGTTTAAATTACGTTTCTCACGCCTGTTTGTTTTTGAGATCGTCACGTCCATGTCATGGTTCTTCATATCAGTGGACTCTATTGCAATCTGCAGTACGCTCACAGTACGTTTTAACATATTATAGCGCCACTCTGATTAATCATATTGTTAGGATTATGCCTTGGAATTGGATGAGACGCGCATATTTAATGCAGCACATTTGATGGTTGCAAGTCTGGCGGGAAGTCTAGCTCACGTAACCTGCAAGGTTCTTTTCTTATAGTTTAGGAATTTTTTTATTTTATTTCTGTTTTTTGTTAGGGTTATTTGGATTGAGTTATGATTAGCTTTATTCTTTCACTAATTTGCTTCTATTTCTTTGGTGTTTAATAATATTCTGCTTCCTTTATTTTCTTACAGGAACCCTTGCGAACTTCAATATTGAGTCACCTAAGAAATTTATTTCAGAGTTTGAATCTCGCAAGTGATATTCTTGAACAAGCCGTTCAAATTATTACCAATGATAATCTGGATCTTGGTTGTGCTGTCATTGAACAGGCTGCTACCGATAAGGTTGGCTTAATATATATTTATAGTTTGTTTATATCAGTTTTTATTAGTCATTTTTATATGGAAGAGCTATATGGGCTTGGACTTGGGCATTGAAATTTTATTTCTTGCAACTTTCTATTGAAGGTATTTTACAATTTATTTTGTGGCAAGATAGGAAATGGGTTTCCTTTTCGTTGAGAGTACAAAACTGTAAAGCAATATTCCTATCAAACATTTTATAAATGAAGGTGATGTCTAGAAAAAGTGGTGTTAAAAGACAAGTTGCTGTTGGAACCGTTTTTCTAACTTCTCAACTTATGCAAAGTGAGAAATATCAAGTACGAAGCTAGTTATTTTATACCCAAGTTAACAAAGGATGTCGGTGAAAGCTGGTGATCTTTCGGACATGGAAGTATCTTTAGAGATTTACTTATTGCTATCTCAAATCCTTGTGAAGTAGCTTCTACTAGTGCTATTTCTTTTGTGTCAAATTACAGATTTCCAATGTTAGCATTGCCCCTAGATTGTCGATAATTATAGTTAAACCTAAGCTTTTGAGTTGTTAGTTTATTGAAAGTCTCCTCACCCCTCTGCTTTTCCAAATTTACGTTCTATTTGTTAATGCCTTAGTAGTTAATACTTTATAACTTTTCTAGGAGCTATATAATAAACTGATTTCACCTGTTCATGTATTCTCATTGTCTCTGTGTGCTGATTGCGGGTGTATGTATAGGCAATACAAACAATTGATGGAGAAATAACTCAACAACTTTCATTGAGAAGGAAGCATAGAGAAGGGGTGGGCCCTACCTTTTTTGATGCTAGCATGTATACACAAGGATCTATGGGTGTGGTGCCTGAGGCCCTCCGGCCTAAACCGGGTCACTTGTCCAATAATCATCGTGTATATGAGGTTGACCCTTGCTGACTTGTGTACTTGGTTATTCCTTTATTAGGAATCACATCTTATTATTGTGTTTTGTATTCCATTTGTGGTTTCTAGGACTTTGTCCGGCTTCCTTTGCAAAATCAATCTAGCCAGATTGCTTCAGCTTCATCTGCCAATGCTGGTCTTGCTGGTGCTTATGCATCTGCTTCTGCACAGCTTAACCCGGCTTACTCGCCTGCACCTGTGAATGCTGGATTTGAAGCCGTCTCTCGTCCGCTAGATGAGGCAATTGATTCTACTTCGGCCCTGCATCTCAGGTTTGTAATATCCATTTTCTTTTCCTCCTCTCTCTAAAGCATTCTCCCTGAATTCACAACGTGGGCTTTGTGTGTCTCTTTCTAATGCATCGCACAAAACTTTTTCTCTCATTATTTCTTTCCTTTTTCCTTTTTTCACTTCTTTTAATACATTAGTTACTTAATTTTGGAATTCTCAGTGCTTCCTCAATGCATTCTGGGGTGGCTGATGGTGTTACTCAACATAGTTCTGAAAATGATCCTCCTGTTGGTTCATTTGCTTCTGCTGTTCCAGCGCCTGAGTTGCATCCAGTGGATTCTTCTGATGCCGTTAAGGTTATACAAGTTCAAACTTAGGCTTCTTTTCTAATTCTTAAATTCAATTTGTTAAATAGGCTCGTTTTTCTATTTCTTTAGGAACCTGGAGCCTCATTACCATTGCCTTCACCTGCTGCTGCTGCTGCTGAGCGTCTTGGAAGTAGCATCTCAGAACCTTCATTCAGCACAAGGGACGCATTGGATAAATACCAGATTGTTTCTCAAAAGGTAGCATTGGTTTTGTCCTATTTTGTTCTTTTATTTATTTGTTTATTCATTGATGTATTTATTCATTTCAGTGGTTCTTTGTTTGCTTCTTCTCACAATTAATTGTACATTGTGAGTGGCCATTTTTCCTTGAAGAATGAGAGGGAGGGTATGTTGTTTGTAGTTTTATGTGTTTGTGTCAAACAAGCTGGGAAATATAGTTTTCCCAATTTGCCTTAGCTTCCATTCTCTCTTTTGTATGGGGCTTGGGTATGGTCTCCTGTAAATGCCTCGCATAGAATGGCTGGAGGGACTCGGTTCTTGTTACTTAAAAAAAGTTTGTTTTGTTTCAGCTGGAAGCGTTGGTGATTAATGATGGCAGAGAAGCAGAAATTCAGGTATTTTTCTTTCTTTCTAGTGTTAGTTACTGCATAAGATTATAAGTTTTGAACTCATGTTCGATCCGTATATTTCTTTCAGTTTGCTCTTAATCTGTATGGTTATATTGGTTTTTCTACGTAGCCTGTGCCTATGTTATATATGCGAGTATGCATTTTTCTTTTCCCTGAAAATGTGAGCATGCATATCTTGCATGAAGTGTGATTCTCATTTAAATAACCAATTTCTTGGAAACTTCTGTTAATAGGGAGTTGTAGCTGAAGTTCCTGAGATCATACTCAGATGTGTGAGTCGAGATGAGGCTGCTTTAGCTGTAGCTCAAAAGGTGAGTAGTACCTTTTGTACGTAAGTTTATTATTATTATTATTATTATTATTATTATTATTATTATTATTATTGTAGAATCATGTGTAATTACATAAATTACCTCTTTAGTTTTTTTATCCCTCTATCTTTAGAAACTGCAAAGTATCCTCGGAATTTGACAAGCTTGGTACAATTTCGTCACCCGCTCAATTTGTGGAAGATAAAACAAGGGGGAAAAACAAAAATCCTTATTTAGACTGAGTGTATTTCTAAAACTAATATTTTTTTCTTGAGAAAAATTTCTGAAATATTTTCAGCATTTTAAAAACATAAAATTCTAGATTTTTCTTTAATATTTTATGTTTTCTTTTTAGTTTTTTTTAATGTTCAAAATATTTTTCATGAACTGTCTTTTTGCCCTTTTCTCATTAACAACTTGTTTATGGATGAAACGAAATAAGTTTTTTAAATCCAAAAGATACCTTCATAGTTCATAGTTTCAAGAAAGAGAGATAAACGGAGAAACTGTTTAAACTTGAAGTCATATAATGTAAGGGTAAACTGTACACGAGTTTGATTGCTCTTGGAATTTTCTTGTGATGATCAGGCATCTGTTTTGTTTATCCCTTCCGGTAAACACATTCACAGTCATATGTTTGATCTCGTCACTTGTTAAGGTTTTTCCAACTCTTGGTACAGGTTTTCAAGGGGTTGTACGAGAATGCATCAAACCCTGTGCATGTTGGTGCTCATCTTGCAATTCTGACTGCTATTCGTGATGTTTGCAAGCTAGCTGTTAAGGAGCTTACTAGTTGGGTATGCTCTTGGACTTCAACCATGTTTTGTCAATTATTTGAGTTCATCTCTGAGTCTCTTTCAAGATGGTTTTTCAGTTTCTTTTGTTCATCCATGTTAGACTATTTCTATTAACCCTTCAGTTTTGGTCTGATAAATTCTCGAGATTTTATGAATTTCTGCTAGTTTGATAAGATTGTTAATAATAATTTTGCTTTCATGCCTTAAAGTATTATAAGATTCGGTAATCTGGTTGTAGTAACAGATGTTATCCAAATATTTTCAAGGTGTTTGGTTTCATATTTTGTCATTATAACCTATGACTTTGCAACTTCTTACAGGTTATATATTCAGATGAAGAGCGGAAGTTTAACAAAGATATCACTGTTGGCCTTATTCACAGTGAATTGCTAAATCTTGCAGAGTATAATGTGCATATGGCAAAACTTATTGATGGAGGCAGGAATAGTATGTAAAAGGATTCTGTTATGATTCAGTTTTAGTTTTAGTGGGTTTTTTTTCTTTCTTTCCTGAATGGAACTGTTTTAGTGCATTTAAGACAACTAATAACTGCATCAATTCCGCAGAAGCTGCGACTGAGTTTTCTATATCTCTTCTTCAAACCTTGGCTGTAGAAGAATCTAAAGTAATTTCAGAGCTTCATAATCTTGTAGATGCATTAGCAAAGGTTTGTGCTTGTTTAGCTTCCATGGAAAAAGCACTTCATTTTTTTTCGCTGCAAAAAAATGCACTTAATGGTGATGTATAGAAGAAGTTCCTTACTCAGTCTGATATGCAGCTTGCTTCGAAACCTGGGTATCCCGAGTCACTGCAGCAGTTGGTTGAGATGATCAAGAATCCTACTGCCAATGTGGCTGCTGCTTCTGGCGTTAATGTTGGAAAAGAAGACAAGGCCAGACAATCTAGAGACAAAAAAGTAAGTGGAGATGTCTTGGTGTATTATGATTTTATGCTCTATTTAAATGTTCATCTGATTCAATACCATATTGTTCTTGAAGCAGACTCCTGGTGTCTCCGTTAGTAAGGAAGACTTAAGTAATGTAGAGTCCCTTGAACCAGATCCTACCGGTTTCCGTGAGCAGGTATCATGATCCTATATTTACTCATAAGTATCTGAAATAGGCCTTTTGAAATGAAGATTGATTATGTAACCTCTGGTGGAAACTGAATTTTGGATACTAAGATGAATAAGTAACAAGTAATTGAGGATAAAAGATGTTCTTGTAAGTTGTAGTATTTACCATTTCTGCCTTAAATTATTAAGAGTTTTATGCTTAAGAGTGTTATGCAGTTGGGAGCATTGGATTTTGTAAAAAGTTAGAAACCGGGATTTACATCAACATTTATAGAGGAGTATTTTCAGTAAGGGTGTATCAAAGCATAATTATTAATTATGCCAAAGTTAACACATTTTTTTGGACCCACTTTGAGCTCTGAGGATGTGGGTGTAGACAGTCCATAATGGAAAGATTAGAAGAGAGCCCATTATTTTGTAGTCTTTTTTTTTTTTTTTTTTTTTTTTTTTTTTTGACTAAACACCATGCTCTGAGAAATTCGTGAATGACTGGTTTTCTAATTGGGCGAGTACGTGGGATGGAGCTTTAGAACATTACAGTTCAGAGAGATGTACGGTTATCAGTACTGAAACAGGTTAATGCTTTGATATGCTTTTTCTGCATGTTGAGTTCGTCATCTGGTGCTTTCTTTTTGTGTAATTTTACAGGTTTCTATGCTGTTTGCGGAGTGGTATCGGATTTGTGAACTTCCTGGTGCAAATGATGCAGCTTGTACGAATTACATTCTACAGTTGCATCAAAATGGACTGTTGAAGGGGGATGAGACGACTGAGAGATTTTTCCGTCTCCTCACCGTGAGTCTTCTTACTTTTGTATTAGTGGTTTTGAATTGGATCGAGTTGTGAGACTATCCTTTTGTATTTATTTAGGAACTTTCTGTTGCGCATTGCCTATCTTCTGAGGTGATTAATTCAGGCACATTGCAAGCACCACTTCAAGTGCAGAGTTTATCCTTCCTTGCCATTGATATTTATGCAAAAATTGTCTTTTCAATTCTGAAGGTAAGCAGGCATTCGCCTTGTATGTATCCCTCGTTATTTATATTTTTTGTTGTTGGGAACCACTTTAATCCGAACTAATGGTTTTTATTTTATGGCAGGGGTCCACCAATAGACCATTCCTTCTGTCTAAGGTAAGTACAAATTGATTGGTTTAGTGCATACATGTCAAGATGGTATCAGTTGATATACATCTCTTCCGCAGATTCTAGCGGTGACTGTCAAATTCATTCAAAAAGATGCAGAGGAGAAGAAATCATCTTTTAATCCAAGGCCATATTTTAGATTGTTTATCAATTGGCTTATGGATCTTGGTTCGCTAGAACCCCTTGTGGATGGATCAAACTTTCAGGTTTGTACATGGCTTTGCTCGTTAAAATCATTTTTTTTTCATTGCTTACCTATCGTTCTTTATGTTAATTGAGTAATACTTTTTTGTCTACGCTGCAGATTTTGACAATCTTTGCAAATGCATTTCATGCTTTGCAGCCCCTTAAAGTTCCCTCATTCAGGTTTGTAGAATCTTTATTTATCTATTTATTTTTCTTGATAATGACCAATGGCACGAAATATTTGTTTTTGGTGTAATGTGTATAGTAGCTAGATGCCGGGAATTGCATAGAAAACAGATATTGACAGTCTTTCTAATTATACTTTCTGAATTATCTGATTGGTATGCTTTATCAGCTTTGCTTGGCTCGAGTTGGTGAGCCACAGGAGTTTCATGCCAAAAATGCTCACAGGAAACAATCAGAAGGGTTGGCCCCATATCCAACGGTTGCTGGTAGACTTGTTCCAATTCATGGAGCCATTTTTGAGGAATGCTGAACTTGGAGCTTCGGTATCTTTATTCAACTGTTGCCGTTTTGTGCAAACCATAATATGGTTTTCTCATATTTTATTTAATTATATCTTTGTTTTTTGCATGTATGTAGGTTCATTTTCTGTATAAAGGCACACTGAGGGTGTTGCTAGTGCTACTCCATGATTTCCCAGAGTTCTTGTGCGATTATCATTTTACCTTCTGTGATGTCATTCCTCCAAGCTGCATTCAAATGCGGAATATTATTCTCAGTGCATTTCCCCGTAATATGAGACTGCCAGATCCATCTACTCCTAATCTGAAGGTGACTGACAGTCCTATATTTTCACTTGGATTCAACTTTTCTTTTTGAATACCGCTTCTAAGGCCCTTGGGTTGTTTCCTTTGTAGATCGATTTGCTGGCAGAAATCAGCCAATCTCCTCGCATTCTTTCTGAGGTTGATGCAGCACTAAAGGCAAAACAGATGAAGAATGACGTAGATGAGTATCTCAAGGTATTTAATTTTTGCGCCAGATGGTTCATTTTAGTTTGGTGCAAATATCATGGAGTGATACTGCTTCCCTTATTTATGTTTTTACTTCTTTCTATCATGGCATTGCTTTCCGTGTTCACCCTCTCCTTCCTACTTCGTTTACCCATTACTCTTTTTCCTACTCTCTGTTTAAAGTTGCATTTTTATCCTCCATCTGTCTCCATACTTCTCATTTTCCCGTCAGCTTGCCTACCTATTGTTTTATGATCTTCTTTTGAAAATATATATATATATATATTTTTTTTTTTTCAGACAAGGCAGCAAGGCTCCCCATTTTTGAGTGATCTTAAACAGAAGTTGCTCCTTGCACCAAGTGAAGTTGCCACTGCCGGTACCCACTACAATGTACCCTTGATCAACTCCCTTGTGCTCTATGTTGGCATGCAGGTAATTTTTTTTTTTTTTTTATTACCTTTTTTAGAGTTAGTCCTCACTGATCTTATGGTACCTCTTACATTTCCAAATATTGTATTCCCGTTTTTTTTTTTATTGTAAGTGGTTTGTGATTAAGATTAGCGTGCACTTTCGATGATTTTGTTATTCCAAATTCTTAGGAGTGGTATACGTTGCGTTTATTGGAGATTTATTAGACTTGGAATTCTGTGATTTTATGTAGTTAATTTATTGGAGCATAGAAACTTTATCTTCTCTGATATCTCCAAACGAGCAAATATTTGGTGCTTATGGTCAAGCCTTGTTTGTTTTCCAGGCCATCCAACAGCTTCAATCTAGAAGTGCTCATGCACCATCCACCCCAGGTGCTCCACTGGCTGTATTTTTGGTGGGTGCTGCGTTGGATATTTTCCAGACTTTAATAATGGACCTCGATACCGAAGGCCGCTACCTTTTCCTAAATGCGGTCGCAAACCAACTCCGCTATCCAAATACTCACACACATTACTTTTCGTTCATCCTCCTTTACTTGTTTGCTGAGTCACACCAGGTGAAAATTTAGTATTATTGGATAATGTGCAGTGTTTACCTTTTTTCAATAATTCGGCCTCTTCTTTGATTGCTAACCAAGTATTGGCATGAGCAGGAAATTATCCAAGAGCAAATTACGAGAGTATTGTTGGAACGTCTGATTGTTAATCGGCCTCATCCATGGGGTCTTCTCATCACTTTTATTGAGCTTATAAAGGTACACCTCTCCCCTTAAAGACAAATTTTTCATTCCAATCATTTCTTGATTTTTGTTTAATCTTTTTTTTTTTAATTTAAAAAAAAAAAACAGAATCCCAGGTACAACTTTTGGAACCGAGGTTTCATAAGATGTGCACCAGAAATAGAAAAGCTCTTTGAGTCGGTCTCTCGATCTTGCGGTGGCCCGAAACCAGTGGATGAGAGTATGGTCTCGGGTTGGGCACCTGACAACGCACACTAGCTCGTCGGAGCAAGTCCATAATTTAAACCTGTCGAAGCATTTCTTCTCTCGTAATTTCCCTTTTTAGAAATGAAATTGTAAATACACAATGTATGGTAGTTGTATAATTTACTGTTCACGATCCATTTAGTTGTATTTACTAGTCTTGTAGATTTATGAAACTCGCTGTGTCAAACAAACATAACACACAGGTTCACTTTCCATTAGCTTGTTTAAGCTGTATATTTGACGTTCTAAATTCTAATGAAAGAGAAGATATTTTTATTTTTATTTGTTCTGACTCCCTAGTCAGTGGTAATTGGAATTGTCAATATCAGATTATGAAATCGTAATCTTGCTGAGTGATTACCAAAACTGGTGGAACCAAAAGTTGCAAAAACGATTCCTGAGACAACTAGTATTTGTTGTAATTTCTTGTCTTTTTTATTTTTTATTTTTTTTAAGAAAAGCTATTTGATATAATTCTTTCTAGTACAATGCATACGTAGAGACACTTGTAGACTAAGAGAGTCGGATTAGCTTAATCCATGACGAGTTCTTGGTGGCAAGTGTCTTGGAAGAAACTTTTGAAATTGCTGCTATTTTCTTAATGGTTTCTTGTCTCGCTTTTGCAGTCTTCTGATCTGCCTCGGCCTTGGTTGTGCTTATTCTCTTCTCTAACTTCTCTAATGCTTTGGCACGCTTCTTCTCAAGTTTTCTCTATCAAAGGGTCAAGAAAATTGAGTGTGAGACCAAATTAAAGAGTATGACATGGAATTATTGTTCCATAAAAAAATAGGAATTATTGTTCCCTAAGCAAAAAATAAGGAAAAAAAATTGGAATTATTGTTCCTCAAGTAAAAAAGAAAAAGAGTGCCACAAAAAAAGGAATAATCAGAACTTTCAATCAATCTCATACCTCAAATTTCTTCATCTCCTCCATAGCCTTGCTGATATGTTTGAGTTCCCATTTACTTATGACGCTTTCTTTTCTTTTTAACCTGTTAGGCATTGGTAAATAAGAAATTTCTTCCAAGAAAATTAGAGAAAATTTTCCAATAGTAATGGATTTCCTCACCTGTCCATAATCTCCATTTGTTTAGCCTTTCTCCAAGCTTCTATCTCAGCCTGAAGCTCCTGCTTATTCACTTCATCCAAAAATGTACTGTAGGGCTTTGGCCTTGTCATCAAGCTATGTCGTATAGCATCCGGACTTCCTTCATTGGATGCTTCATGCAAACTCTGCGTCGAAGCTTGGCCACTATACTCTTCAAGAACTGATAACGAATTGTCGAGAATTTCAGTCAGATCACCGATGAGGAGTTTATGTAGTGAATTTTCTTGCTAGTCTTAAGAGACAGAAAAACCTTTGGGACAGTTGTTTTGCTTTTGCATATTTGGGTGATAGAAATGGCCAAAATGTTTGGCGTGCTCCATTGAGTCATACTCATTCACTTCAACTCTGGAGTTTTTGACACCATTTGAGGCAGTGAAAAAGCTCTAACAATAGTCAAATCCAAATAAAAGCCTTTTAAACAACTTTATGTTACATAAAGAAACGGCATTCAATAACGAAAGAACCAGAATGTAGGGACTACACGTAAAGATTCAAATCATGTTACAAAATCTTGATCGTATTTTTCAAGTACATATTAAGATCGTAACAAAGAATTGTTCTTTGAACGTATAATATCATTCCATATTCTGTTAATCCACACGACCACGAATAAAAGAAACAAACACACATAATTCAACAGATTCAAACCCCAAAAAAGACCAAAGAAGTAAGTTCTTGAGAGAAAACCTGGTTCCTAGGAGTTGGTGATGACTCAATGGGAAGTTGAGTGAAGAATGTATCCGCCTTGTGAGAACATGTTGGAGAGCTCAACGGGCTTGTTGAGGCAGTGCTGCAAATGGGCGATGGAGATTCCGGCAAAACTTCCCTCAGAGAATTCATGTCCCAAGATGAGCAAGCCATGGAAGATTTACTCACATTCGATTTACGAGGGCCCTTGTGTTTGAAACAATCAATGGTGGGTTCCGTGGTCATCAAGATGGTCTTTTCGGTTTGTGTGAAACTTGTTCTTCTTTTGGTGATCATTTTTCTCGTCTGTGTTTTCTGAACCACGTGTGGGATAGAAGCAACTCAAAGTGATTTGTTTTTCTGAGTTAATCCCATAAATAGTCCCTAAAGTTTACCATCATTTTCACTTTGGTAGTTTATTTTTAAAACTATCTCACAGTTAATCGTTGAGACTTTATTTTATTTTAATTTTGATATTTCCGTCAATTAACTGTTAAATATTTAATAGAATCTGTGTTAAATTTAAGACCGAAATAAGAAATAACTAAAATTTAAGGACTATCTGTGTAAATTAACTTTTATTTTTTGTCTTATTTTAGTCTCTAAATTTTATATGTTTCTAATTTTAGTTCCTAATTTAGACAGATTCTGTCAAATATTTAACACCTAACTAACAGAATAACCAAAACTGAAACAAAATAAGACTTTAAAGACTAATTATGAGGTGTTTTAAAAGTCAGAGACCAAAGTAGATTGGTATTAAATTTCAGGGCCATTTGTAGGATTAATTCCTTTTTTTTTTAATTGTGAAACGTGGTTTTTTATATGGCTTAATGATTTTTCTGTCCTTTTTGTTTTTGGAGGAATTGATTATGCTTATATGGATTTTAGGCTATCAAATTTGTCTAATTATGAGTTGAAACGCTTGCCCCGAGGAAGCTCTAAATTTTGGTTTTTTTTTTAATCTTTTTTTTTTCTTTCTTGTTTAAACTTTGTAAATGTAACGATTATTATATTTTCAATGTGCCCATATTCAACGACTCTTGCAAGTAGAGTTTTGTTTTTTTGGAGTTAAATTCATAGACGTCCTTGAAGCTTCTTATCACTTCAAAAATTTGTTCTTGCACTGAAAGTTGTTCCAATTTAACTCCCATTATGTCTCAAATTTACTCCCTTGGTTATATTCTCTCTGTTGATTTTTTTTTAATTAGTAGCTAAGTAATAAAACAATCTAACAAATGCATTTCTTTACTTAAAAAGTTTAATCGATAAGGAAAAAGGTTTTTCCTAGAAGTTGGGTTGAATGATTTCAAGGACCATGAGGGGGGAAAAAGATTTCATTTTCATTTGGGATATTTTTGCTGCAAATAGTGTCGTTCTGGTTAATTTCTTTTCCGTCTAAATTTTCATAGAATTTAAGTTGAAAAAAATTTTTATACAATAATAATAATTTTGAAAAAGAGTTAAGGGAAGTAAGGCGGCACCTAGAAGGAAAGTTCACGAAGGCGAAACAGAAAGAATTCGTCAAAAAAAAAAAATTTAATGGAAATTCGCCAAAATTGTTGTAAGCTGTGGAGTTCCCATATTTACAGCAAACCAAACATTCTTTCTATTTAGTTGCTACAAATAAATACAAGAAATTCATTCAACGGCATTATTCTGATGTAGAAAGCAAGAAATACTCAATTTTTGTGCTTCTCGAGTGTTGGATTGTAAAAGTTCGACTTTGATAAACTGAAGCAAAAGGCATCAACGTTTCAACCTTTCACATACTAAAGGGGAAAAATAAAGGTACAAAGCAAATATCTATTGTAACTCGTTTTTCTTTCTTCAACCAAAATGGCAAACAGAAACCTAAGTTCTCAGTTGTGTCAGTAAAACACCATTCTCTCTCTCTAGGATTCTCTGCGAACAAAGTACAGCTTGCCCATGACATGAAGAATGGCAACAAAGGCAATGAAACCAATGCTCATAATGAGAACAACATTGGGCGAGATCTTGAGTCCAGGGGCGTCATCTGTGTAAAACTGGAGCATCGTCCCAGCTGCTCCGCCAGAAGCCCCGCTGCTCGTCGTCCTTCTCCTACGCATGCTCGCAGTAGCTGCAGCACTTCCTCTCGGGGGAGCTGCTCCACCTAAAACCATTTTCTGTAGCGGCCAACAAAGCATTTAGAACTTCCAATTCAGCATTTTGTAATCAGAGCATAAGGAAACAAACTTGCGAAAAAGAAATGCTTTACTGAGACTTCTTCAAAATCAACTTTAGAAGCTATATTGCACAATGCATACTTTGAGACAGTGAAAGTTAAATTTCCCTATTAATCAAACAGTTCCTCAACAAGAAGACTATATGATAATAAAACAACTGATCAGTGACCCAGACATGAACACTTTTGCAGATATTAGCATCAGGGCATGGCTTTCATAGACAAAAAATAACTGTTTTATAGCAGATGAGTTTGAATCTGTGATACTAAAGACAGAAGCTTTATTAATCACAATTGAAACTGAGTTAAATAATTACAAATCCCATTTGCATTTTAGACAAACATAGATGTTAATGTAATTCAATTGCAAATATCATAATTGGAAAAGAAATATAGAAAATTTGGACAAAAATAGAGATCTAGCAGAATAAAGTAAGATTACACCCATCGAGAATCAACATCTGGGTATTTCAGGAGATCAAAAGACAAAAATAATTTCCCTTTGCATCATCATGCAGCCATTTATTCACCTTTTTATTTTCCCTTCATTGAAAGGAATATGAAAATAGAAGATGAGCTTCTCAATAATTAAGCATAATCATAAAGAAATATGACAACCACAATATACAAACACAAATCCCCGATTGCATCAAATAAAATAGATCAACCTTCATATTAGCTCCAAAATGAAAAACAAAACAATTTCTACAGCGTAATTCCTTAACATAAAGAAAATAAGAAACCCAGAACCCTATCGCGAAAAACGAAAACAGATCCGATAATCAGAACCAAAATCGAATTTCTATGTCTCTAAAAAAAATTTTAAAAAAATGTGAACTTTCCCAAACAAAACCTAAATTTAAAAGATTTCTGGCGTAGATCTACAGAATTACGGATCCGAAAAAACAAAAAGAAGAAACCGAAATGATAGATTTTGCAGAGAAGAACTTACCTGAATCGATTGGGAGTGATAGAAAGAGAAATCGCCGGGTTTTGATTGCGCCTGATCGTGAATTTTGACTCTGCGAAAAATAGGTCCGATTAATCGTATTATATAGCAAATGAAATTTTTCTTTATTTTTTCCCCTTTAATGTGGGTCCAACACATTTTCCACGCCTTTATAACCAATAGAGTTACGCCACATCAGAACACCACCAATGACGTCAAAGACACCTCTTTATTTTGTTTTTCTCCATTTAAAGACATTTTAAACACCTGTTTATAATTCAGAGCTTAAAAAAAAAAAAAAAAAAAAAAAAAAAAAAAAAAAAAAAAAACACTTGTTCATAATTTTTTCTCTCTCTTTTCTTTTTCTTTTTCTTTTTCTTTTTTTTTTCCCTGTTTGAGACATTATTTTGACTAATAATATGGTTATGCATGTGTATCTGTGTACTAGAAAAAAGAGCTTACTTATTTAAATAAAATAAAATAAAATAAAGAAAAAGAGCTTACGACATGATATTTTTAGAAAAATTTGGTTGAAAAAGAATACTTTTATGACTTCAGATCACATGAAAATTATATCATAATTTAACGTAATTTATGATTCAAAAGTTTTATATTTAATTTTTAATCTCATTAAATGTATACTTTTAAATTAAAATTAATACACAAATGTATGTCTTTTTACTATCAACCATCAATTTTAACCTTAAAAATATCTAAAATATCTGCATAGTTATGAAAGAAAGAAAAGAAAAACTAAAAAAAAAAAAAAAACTATAAACTTGTAGTTTTGACCTTAAAATAACCTAAATTAGCTCAAAATGGCCTTTTTTATGCTTTTGTTTTTGTTTTTAATTTTCTACAATTTTAACCTTTTTTTCTTAAGGATAATTTAAAATGTTAAAATCAATTATGGAATGACATAAGATATATATTTGTGTATTAAATTTAATTTGAAGGTATAGATCAAAAATTGAATATGTAGTTTTTAGATAAACTTCAAACATATGATATAAAAGCATAAATACCTCTTTATTTCTTGTATAAAGCGAGTCATAAGTCTCACACACACCATGAAAAAAAAATAAAAAATCTCATAATCTCATAAATGATAATATCACTATCGCATTAGAATAGCAACTAAAAAAAAAAAAACAACGTCGTATTCGTTAAATGTCGTTTCTACCGATATATCAAATCAAATCAATATCTGAATTTTCCATTTCAATTCGATGTTAAAACAGTGGCTTAGGCATATCCCTTGGATATACTTTCTCGTCCTTTAGTAAGCAAACGCCTCACAAGTCACACTAAACAATGTGAGTGTTTGGAACAGTTTTTAAAAACAATTTTTACGTATTTTAAAAAATAAAAAATAAAAACAATAAAAATTATTTTTATAAAAAAATTAAAAACGATTGAAAATTAATTTTTCTTTTTCTGTTTTTATTTTTTTTGACTTATCAATAATATTATAATATATTAATTAATAAACACAATTTCACTTTTTTATTATACTCAAAATAATTTCTTAAAAAATCAACCAAATACAATTTCAGAATCGATCACATAATGGTTCTCAAAACAATCTCATTTTTACTTTTTATTAAAACTAAAATCATTTTGAAATCAATTCTCAACGCACCTAATATGTTAAGCTCAAAAGCCACTGAAAAGTACAATACACGAGCACATTTTTTATTTTATTTTACTTTTTCAAGAGCAAACTTGTATAAAAATAAAATTGATTTTCAAACGAGTTTATCTGCAATACATAAAGTAGCAATTAGCCATCCATAAAGAAAACGAATGAAAATAATTCAAGATAATTCTATCACTTACAACTTTGGTGGTACAATAAATTGATTTCCCAGTACAATGTTTAATATCAATGACGTGGAAAGAAGAAATAAACTACAGTCTATACCAATGTATCTGCTTATACTAACTCCTAGCAAGTCAGTACAACTACTTAATTTGATTATACTAGCATTTCTAAACTTATTGTAACACTGAGAATTAAATTACACGGATATTTTCAAAAAAAAAAAAAAAAAAAAGTTTCCCACATACAATAAAGTGTGGAAGAGCTAGAATGAGTATGTGACTCAAAGAAGCTTCTTTATCATCCTTGGTCATCCTGATTCCTGAAGCTCAACATCTAAATTACAAAAGGTGAAAAAACTATCTAATATCCATCTCTGTTTGGGAGTTGCAGTGTAAACTATCTAAATGCAAGTAAGAATCCACCAATCTCAAGGTTTTAGCCTTTTGAAAAACCTACCACCTTTCATTCCCACTCCCGTCCCTGCGAGACTCGACGTTAAGAGAGATTTGGAATCCGGCCGCCATTTCAACTCTTTGAGGATAGAAAACAAGGATGCCAGGGCAGGAGTGACCTCGACGTCTTTTACATTATTACATGAAACTACTCTAAGTCTTTGAAGCTCTTTCCATGATAGAACTACAGATTCCAATCCTGCTGTTGTCAGCAGGGAGCATCCTTCCAATGATATCAGCTTCACCCTCCTAAGAAAACAAAAGAAATATCAGAAAGAATGCTCTACCAAATTCGAAAACTCCAATTAATCTCATTTCTAGACATTCCACAAACACTTCAACAGCAGGCCATTGTAAAATACACCCGGGCTTGCCTTATAAATTTAAAATTGCCCATGTTACATGTCCTTGTTCCATGACCTCAAACTGAGAAATCTTTCAAGTTTCAACTTAGAAAGGCATTGTATATTTCTCAACGGCTCATAAGTTTACACGTAATTTTTATAGACAACCAAACATTTTGCTAATTTGTTCACTACTTAGCTAGCTATCATCAGATAACACCATGAAAATTGAAATTACACAAATAGTTCTAGAGGACTTGAATGCCATCACTAAGAAATCGCACGTGGCTTTTGTTTCACAAGGGTAATACAGCTGATGATAAATGCGTGATTCAATAAGTTGCAAAATGGAGATCACTATCCACTTCACCAATTATATTAGTGATCAACTTTAATCTCAACTCCTTTGAACTTTTTAACTATAGCATGAAGAATAAAAAAAAGTAAGAACCAAAAAAGGGACTTGGACAAGGACTAAATTCCCGTACCTACAGATAGTGGCGATGCTGAATACATCATCCGCCAAGCCCCAACAGTCCTGAAAGACGACATCTCGGACGGCCTCACACACCGAAAACAGCGCCTTCATGCCCTGCTTATCCCTCACTTGACACTGCTGTAAATGCAACTCTTCAATGGTAGGACAACACCCCAAATGCTCGTCCGGGCCGGGGCACAAATCGATGTTCTTGCAGGACTTGAGCTTCAAAGTCTTCAAATTCATGCAATAAGAAAGCGCGGCCAGCCACCCGCCCTCCATCCTATGATCACACAGCGTCAAATCCTCGAGCATTTGGCAGCACTGCCCGATCGCCTTGATCCCGTCGTAGCTGCCTTCGCACCCGCAGAGCTCGAGCTTCACCAACCGCGTGCACCCCTGCGCCAAAATTGTCAATCCAATGTCTGAAACCACCGAGCCGTAGAATCCACCAAAACAACCAATCAATTTCACGATCTGCAAATTCCTACATTGCAAAATCCCCTTCAATGCCATGTCCCCGCAACAATGCAGCTCCAATTCCTGCAATGTCTGGCACTCCTCGGCGACACTCCGCAGCCCGCTCTCGCTCGCTCCAATCGCCACCAATCTCCGGAGATTCGGGTACCAATTCGCAATCAAGCCGAGCCCTTGGTCAATCACACTCGACTTCAAAACGTCGCCTTCTTCAATAAACCCGCCATCGTTCGGCGTGAAGAGCGAATCCAGATGAAGCGACACCGTTTTGCGTGTGACGAGGATGCCGGAGTTTCTCGGCGAGCGGATGCAGGCGTGGACGAGGTCGATGTCGGTGAGGTTGGGGAACCGGTCGGAGACCCGACCCGAATCGAGAAAGCCCCAATCGAGGATTTTGAGGGATTGGAGAAGACGGCCGTGGAGGTAGAGCCAGCGCTTGCAGACGAGGGAGTTGTGGGAGTACTGAGAGAGGGGAAGCTTCGAGAAGATCGAGAGGAGGAGCTCATCGGAGAGGAGGGAGGTGGAATCGGGTGCCGGAGGGTCCAGGGGAGGAAGGGAGAGGTCGGATTCGGAGAGAGGAGAGGAAGGTGATGGAGAAGAAGAGACAGCGGAGTGAAGAAGCTGCATCTTCGATATGACATGCTTCAGCGCTTCCTCATGCTGTTGCTGCTGTTGTTGTTGATAAAGCTTCGAAGACTTCTCCAATGGCGGTTTCGCATTTGAATTTCTCTCCGGCGAATGCGACATTTATCTCTCTGGAAAAGTTTTGATTTGTGTGTACGTGCGAATTAGGGTTAGGGTTTCTTTCAGCTTCTCTCCCTCTCTCTCTCTCTCTCCGTTACTCTAAATTTCTCTCTCTCTCTCTCTCTAACAAATGTAAAATAAGAAATTGCAATTTCTATCTCTCTCTAAAATTTGTGTTTTTCTTTAATTTTCTTACTCCAGATTTTCAACGAGAGAAAAGATTGCTCATTTTCTTCTTTAATTTTTCTCTCTAAACAAAAAAAAAAAAGATTCTTTTTTTTTCTCTTTTCCTTTTCAAATCTCTCCCTCTAAAAGCTTTCCTTTTTTCCTTCTAATATTCTTACTCTAGATTTTTGAACCTTTGATTTTCTCGTTTACTGTAATTTTTCTCGCTAAACAAACAGAAAAGTTGATTTTTTTTTTCTTTTTCTTTATCAAATCTCTCTCTAAAAGCTGAATGTAATGGATTTCTGGATGATTGGACACGGAAGAGAGATAAGGATTCTCTGATCCGGTGCGGAAGCGACCAGTTTATAAGATTTCATCAAACCATTAGCAATCTGCCACATATGGAAAACCAGAGTACTTCGCCCTGTTTCCTGACGTGGCGAACAATCATTAGAACATCTAAATATGATATTTCTTAATAAATATGGGGGTTGTTGCAAAATACCAAAAAGGGATATATAGAAATGATTAATAAATCTAAAGAAAAGTAGAAGTGAGTTTTTTATTTTTTATTTTTGGAAAAATAAAGGAGTTAAATTTGTCTCACGTGAGTGAGAGAGTGTGGCATGTAATAATATTTTGGCTGCTTTTGGGAAGTACGAGTGTACAACTAGAAAACTCCTAAAATCCCAACAAAAAAATTGTACACCTCACTCAGACAACTTTAAGTTAGATAAAGTTTTCCGTTATCACTTAACTTTTGCTATAACAATTACCATATTTTGCCGGCTATTTTGTATACACGCTCTCTCAATTTTAAGAATTTATGAGTCGTTCATTTTATTGATTTGAGTTTTCAGTTATAAATTTTTACAGTAAAAAATTTTTAAAAAATGTCACATTTAATTTTTTTAGTTACAGTAAAAAACTCTCAAAAAATATCACATCTCAGCTCGAATTGAAAACTCGAATCTGCGAAGTGAATAAGGCTTTAGTAAATTAAGTTCTTTAACTTTTTTTTCTTGACAATTCATCATTTAAATTTTAAAATTTATTGTAGTATTAATTAAATTGAAAAGTAAATTAAAATTTTAAAATGTATCTTTCATAGGAGTATTTAATATCTTTTTTATTTCTAATTGATTCTTATATAGCATCACATGCAAATTTTTTTTTTTGAAATTAAGAGTTAACCGGTTTGGCTAAAAAATTAAGGGTGCGTTTGGAACTCGTTCCAAAATGATTTTATTTTAGAATTATTTCTGAAAATGTGTTTGGTAGTTTTATTCTGAGATTCTTTTCAGTTTAAAAAACTGAAATTGTGTTCGGTGGTTTAATTTTTAAAAACATGTAATAATATTTAAAATAATAATATATTAAATAAACATTTGGGGGGATTATTTTAAATAAATAATAATATTAAATATATTAAATAAAAATGGGATGGGGGCAGTCAGAGAAGAGTGGGGGCAGTCTTTTTGTATCTTCTACGTGAATATTTAACGATGGTAATTAATATCTTTTTGTATCTAATTGATTCTCATATAGCATCACAGGCAATTTTTTTTTTAAAATTATGTTTGGTAGAGGGATTCGTTCCCTGATTTGTGGTTTGCTACAGTATTTTCTCTCACAAAAAATACACGTAAATAAAAAATGGTTCGAATCACATGGTTTGAATCATCCAACCAAACGTCCTCTAAGAGTTCACTGGTTTGGGGAAAAAAAATAGGAGTTCCCCAACTTCTAAAAATTTTTCATTGATGACATGTATAAAATGTTCAATTCGATGTAAAAAGACCAAAATTATCCTTATTAAACACTCACGTACTGTCTAAATTTTTAACTTCGTTTTCAATTCAACCAATAACGCAACAAATTTTAAAGTTTAATGGGTGAATTGCCAAGAAAAAAAATTAAGGAACTAATTTACCAAACTCGTAAAGTTGAGAGGTGTCTATGAAAAAAAACCTATATTGCCTTTTAATTAAAGTGATAACCATTGTTTAATGACATTATCACAATGATTGAAAACTATTAGACAAAACAATAAAATTTGAGCTTTTAATGAGCATAAATTAGTCCAAAAAAGATTCCTTATAACAACTAGCTAGCATTAAGTAAAGGGGCATAGTACTTCACGTGAAAATTAACATCTTCCTGATAGAATTAAAGATGATTTATAAATTTAAATTTGATTAAGGATATTCAAATTTTTCTTCTGATTTGGCATTGTCAAGAAAATTATAACCTTCTTGCATTTTACCATAATTAGGGATCAGTTTAGTGTTGTTATGCTGTTGAAAATTTTTGTTGTAGTTGTGTTTGATAACTAGAAACATACAGGTGTTTGGTAAATTTTTTTCAAAGTTATTGTAAATACTAAAAGTAGAAATTTAAATGTTTAGTAAACTATGTCGACACAAAAAATAAATGACTAAAATAGACATACTTTGATGCACATATTTATAATAAGTTTTATTTCTATTTTTAAGTCAATACTCATAATATTTACACCACACTGCTAAAAAAATATAATTTTAAGTTTATTATTGAAGATATTTCTAAAAAGTGAATTACTATTATTCAATAAACCACTAAATTTCTTATTTATTGTTATTATTTTTAAACATTTTGACAGTTATTCAAAATACTTTATTAAAATTTAACATAGCATACTTATTAAAGATTTGCAATTTTTGATAATTGTTTTAAAAATAATTTTTTAATTTGGTATTGAAAAACATAAAAAAAAGCCGATGGAGAATTAAGTTTTACCATTAAGGTTATCTTAGAAAATTTAAAAAATGATAACAGACCCTGACTTGTTTCTTGGTAACAGTTTAGTAATTATCAAGAAGCAACAATTTTTAAAAGTTATTGGATAAAAATTAGATTTAATAAACACCTTAATTTATTATAGCTTTTTAAAAAAAACTAAAAACATTCTCTAAAAATAATGTTGAACGTACTCTAGGTCTTGATGGATCTAATTTTGGTGCATGTCAAATATTTTTAATTTATGTGTTTGTTCCGAAAATGTTGTTAAATTTTTTTGTAGACTTTTATGGTAACATTTCAAACATGAACTTGTGCATCCTAGTGGGGACACAATTCACAAATTTGTGAGAGAAGGTAGGGCCCCACGTAGCGCGGTCCATGACATATGAGTTCCGTCCCACTTTGGCAGCAAATGTGTGCCACAACTCTCCCACAAATTCCTGAACCTTCTTTTTCTAATGATATATTTGAGAAATTTTACGTGTTTTAGAAAAATAATATTTTTGTACTTATTTAGTGAGAACATTTATTTTCACAATTTAAATTACAATTACAATTTTATTATTATAATATTTTTTCTCACATAGTTTGAGTTGTGAAACAAACATACCTTATATTTCTCTTAATATAAGCCACTTCTAACAACATATTACTACACTAATTGTCTAATATATTTATAAAGAAAGATTAAGGATTTTCGGTATCAAAACTCCCAAAGTGTTTTATCAATTTGAACGGGGTTTAAATTCCATCACATTATAATCGGCGAATGAGTCTTTAGTTTTGAACGCATATCACAAATTTTTCCGCTGCAGATTACAATAGCATCCTTTTAATAAGGCATGGCAAGAATTTTGCCTCTCCACATGAATATTCAAAGTTAACAAAATGTGTTTTGTCAAAAATTGCCCCACCGGTAGCAGCATTGAAATTAACAATAGCCACAAATCGACCCTAGTCGTCAGGGTAATCTACCAGATTATGTTGCCCTTTTCTTTTTAGATCATTCGTCAGGTGGTCATTGGCGTATGTTGTCAAATTAATCAATCTGATTGATTACCACTAGTAAGCTAGAATATTAATTGTTGGAATGTAATCTCCTCGATTAATCGATGAATCAACGGAAAAACAACAAAGAACCACCTACCGGTGTTCAAAAAATATGTCAAACTGCAAAAACCGCTCAATCCAAACCAAACCGAACCAAATCATTAATTATTTTTAGATTATTGAACGGTTTGGTCGGTTTTTAATTTAATTTTTTAGGCGGTTTGATTTATGGTTTGGACTCCCCAACTACCTAATAATCCGTCTAAAAATGTACATATATAATTTTTTAATTTTTAAAATATTTTTATATTTATTTTAATTTTTATTTGTCATAATAAAGATTCTACACTTATAAAATACACCATATCATATTTTTATTGGTTTGTATTAAAAGTTTAAACGGTGAAATGTTAGATATTTACTATTTTTGAGTTATATTATAAACTTAAATCTTATTTTTATTTTTATTAATTAACTATTTTATAATTTTTATATATTATTAAAAAAAAATTTAATTTTAAACTTAAACCGTTTAAGAGTAATCATCAATTTAATTTTTATCAAAAATATCAAACCGTCCAAAAAAAATTATTTTTAATTTAATTAATGATTTAAAAAAAAAATTTGTTCAAACCGACGCGAACACCTCTAGAACTACCAGATTACAAAATTATTACCAAATCATTAATTTGGGCAAAACTTTAGCCGTCCCCGGCCCTCGAACGACTGGATTTGTTTGTGACACGTTCTTGCGGGTGAAATCTGTGGTGGCAACGTGGAGATGCATCGACAGAGAGAGGGGCACACTCAATTTTGAAGGGACCTTCCTCCACTTTGAAGTTGGGCCACACAATCCAATTGCTAGGCCCGATTGAAAGATGGAGTTTTCAACTCAGGCCTAACTTTAAGACACAATTTCACATCACTTGGGCCATGATGGCCTCAACACAAGACAACTCAAGCCTTGAGACAAAAGGGCCAACAAACAGAAGTACTCAATGGGCCATGAGGAGTACAAGACAAGTTGCTCGAGATGGGCCAGCTTGACAAGACTCTCTCACACACGCGTTGTTCAAAGAAAAAAATGGAGTATTTATTCTAGTCT